GTTGTGACTCCAACAAACCCTCAATTCAAGCTGAGTATTGATCAATGTCCCAGTACTGATGTTGAAAGAACCTATATGAATAGCATCCCATATGCTAATATAGTTGGTTCTTTGATGTATGCTATGGTCTGTACTAGACCCGACATAGCATATGCAGTAAGTCTTGTAAGCAGGTACATGGCGAATCCTGGAAAGGCTCACTGGCAAGCGTTAAAGTGGATTCTAAGGTACATAAATGGGTCTCTGAACAGAGTCTTAATTTATGGTGGAACCTTGGGTGAAGATAGTAAAGCAGCAGTCGAAGGCTATGTTGACTCTGATTATGCAGGCTGTATGGATTCCAGAAAATCTATTTCTGGATATGTTTTCACTATGTTTGGTACAGCAATTAGTTGGAAAGCAACTCTTCAGAAGGTTGTTGCCTTATCAACTACTGAAGCAGAATATATTGCCCTAACTGAAGCTGTGAAAGAAGCATTGTGGCTTGAAGGTTTTGCAAAGGAGCTGAAACTTCAAGGTCAAGGTATCACTGTTAAATGTGATAGTCAAAGTGCAATACACCTGTCGAAGAACTCAGCCTATCATGAGCGAACCAAGCACATAGATGTGAGGCTGCATTTCGTCAGAGGGGTAATCGAGCGTGGAGAAGTCCAAGTGCTGAAGGTCTCGACAGATCACAATGCCGCTGATATGATCACCAAAACATTGCCAAGTTGCAAGTTTTTCCACTGTATGCAGTTGATAAAGCTGCATGAAGAAAGCTAGTTAGTGTCTCTTGATGCTGTAGAGTTAGGTCCAAGGTGGAGATTTGTGGGATTTTGGATCGAACTCTAGTATGATCGAAGTACATGCTGTAGTCGAAGAAGGGTCTAGCATGTATTTGTCGAAAAATGCTTGTTAAATTAGGTTTTAGTGTTTAAACCCTAATTTGTTAAGTTAGCTTGATTATTAAGTTAGCTTGTATAATGGGCCTTGTGGAAAAAGCCCATTAGTTAGTATGTTAGGTTTTATTATAAATAGCATACTAGTCTCTCATCATTGCATCACAGCAAATCCTAATTTAGGGTGAGAGGGTTATTTGTTATTCTTGTAAACTTGTAATCTTGTTTTCAAAGAGAAAGTAAAGAATAGCAGTTATAACCAATTCTTGTGTTCTTCTTCTTCCGTGTTTGATATTCCTCCCTTATTCTATACTTTGTTATTGGCATTGAATTCACAACAATTTGAAAAGTAATTATTTTGTTAAATTTTTTTTTAAATATAATTATTTAAATATTTTTTTTTGTTATTTAAAAAAATCAAAATAACTATTAATTCGTATTAAAATATAAAACAGCAGTAATGTCTTTTTATTACCTTATCTATATCATTCAATAGAGTCAATTTGTTGTGAGTTGAATTGTCTACGAACCAACTAATTTTTTTTATCAATAAAAGAATATCTTAAAAATATGTGTATTACTATAAATTAATTTTTTCCATACTGATAATGACCATTATGAATTGAAAATGACTAGGGCGACAAAAATTGTGGCTATTAAAACTTGTGCCAAAAGTTTTAGCTAGGCACGCAGCTTTGCCATTGTAGATCCATAAGCTGCTAACAATATCATTTGTTTACAATTTAAAACAAAGAACCATGCAAAAATTTGTCAGAATAAATTCAGCTTTTTTCATAGTCAATAGTTACAATGATCGTGAAATGGAAGATGGTGAAATTAAATATATAAAAATTATTCAAAGGGGGGACTACTTTTAGCCATGCTTGTTAGAATTTAATCAATGGATCAATCATGTCACGGTAAAAGCTACAAAACCAAGAAAAGTGTATTATTGCCATCATGTTGTATAAGTACTTTAATTTATTTCTCTCTATAACTTACACTCTCTTTCCCATATGTGTATACTAGTAATATGTATTCTTTATCCAATTTATACACAATTAAATTCTCTCTCTCTCTCTCCAATATTATAAATAAATTTTATTTTTTTAAATTATATAAATTAGATACATTAACTATTCATAGAAACTAAAAAAAAAATTTTTATTTATAATATAAAAAAAGGATCACAATAAATTATAAAAAAAAAACTTAAAAAAATTTAGCATTATCGTTAAAATAAAAATAAGTCGAAAAGATTTACAAAGGTCTATAATTTAATCTATTTAAGATCAGACTTATTTAATATTTCCTCTAGTTTTATTTATAAAAAAAAATTATTTTTTAGATATATTGAATAAATAATATATTTAAACAATATATTGTCTAGATATATTATTGATTCAATTTGTCTAAAAAATAAACTTTTTATTATAAATAGAATCAAAGGTAGTAAAAAAGTGAGACTTAAGTTTTTTTTAAAATTTATTTAATTAAATAAATCAGACTTAACTTATTAAAGAAGTATATAAAACCTTATAAATCAGCTTATATTTTTATATATATTAAAAATAGTCTAAATAAGTTGGTTTATGTATGCATATATAATAGAAAAAAATGTTAAATAGACTGATTTATATATGTATATATATTAGAAAAAATTTAAATAGATCGACATATATATATGCATATATAGGTTGGTATATAAAGCTTCTTAAGTAATATGAATTAATCGAAAACCTTAATGAGAAACAGACTTTTAAATAAACTTTCAAATTATGTCATACTTTTAAAAAGGCTAGACTAGACAAAAAAAGAGAGTCTATAATAGATTATAAACCAAAGTCAAATCTTGTAAATTTATCGTATGACAGACTCAGACCTTCTAAAGCCTATCCTAGTCTATTTACACCCCTAATTGTTGGGTATACAAAATTAAATTTGAAAATTTTAACAATATTATATATAGAAATGTCAATTTTATTTAAGATTAAATATATTTTTGATTCTCCTAAACATCACACACACACACACATATATATATATATATATATATATATATATATATATATATATATATATATATATATATATATATATATATATATATATATATATATATATATATATATATATATATATATATATATATATATATATATATATATATATATATATATATATATATATATATATATATATATATAAAATATCACAATTAAACTATTACACATTCAATATAAAAGTTTTTTTATTTCATAATTTAATAGTAAATTTTTTGAATCTTTTATTAATTTTATTTAAAAAAACTAAATATTATAATATTTTTAATTAATAGTTTTTTTTTTAAAACTAAATATTATAATATTTTTAATTAATAGTTTTTTTTTTAATTAAAAATGTGTGTAACAGGTGCAATAAGGGTAGTTTAATATCTACATAGTATGAGTACGAGTATAAAATTTGTATCATATGTATATGTGAATTTTAATATGAGTTGTTTTCCTGTTTTCTTATATAATTTAAACCTAATTGTAAAAGCTAATCATTTAATAAGTTGGAAAAAACTACAATCTCAAAAAAAAATTAACATTGCTACTTGCACAAAATTGAATTAAAAAAATTCCAACACAGCTATGTGTATTGAATTCAAACCTACATCTATTTAAGCTAGAAGATATATCTTCTAGATATCATTTATTTAATATATTATTTATTTCCTTGATTTAAGATAAAATGTATAATCTTTACTAAGATTAGTATTAGATAAAAAATTACTTTTTAGAAAAAATTAAACTCACTTTTTTTCTAAAATATGTTAAAATGAAACTGACATTCTCTAATTTAAAAATATACACTAATTTATATAGATCAGTAAAAATATTTAATAATAGACAAAAGACTGTCGATAAATAACTAAATCTTTTAATTTTTATTGTCATTAATAATTAAAGGAAGTGTTATTATCATTTTAATAGATTTAAAAAATTATTAATGCATATTATAAAATTAAAAGGAGTGTCGGTGTATTTTAACAAACTTTAAAAAAGATGAGTATAATTTGTCTAAAAAATCATAAAACTCAACGGTAGAATCCGTCGATAAATAATTAAATAATTTTTTTAGTTAATAAAAAACAAATTAAAATTTATTTGCCATCCTAGGACATATTCATTACATTTTTTCTGTATATTTTCCTCCTTTAAGATGTAGATGGATTGAAATATTGAATAATAGTGCAAAAATCATTTTCCATTCAAAAGTTGAGAGAAACACATCATTTCCCACATTTTCCATTCAATTTTTGTAATTCAAAAGAAACAATACACTAACAGATAGAAAAATGAAAAGACAAAAAAAAATGTTGAAGTGTAACAAGACTCTATTAAGGAAAAACTTGTGAAAAATTATGCTATTTACAAATAATACTCCTTTTTGCTTGTTGTTTCTATTCACCCTTTTTATGTTTACTTTTGCAAGAAAATGGAAAGACAACTGTAGATGGGTATATTTGAAAAAGAAAAGTTTTTAGAAAAAAAACAACTTTTTTTTTAAAATAATAAAAATAATAATATTTTGTATAGTTGAAAAAAAAGAACAGAGGAAAAGACAGAAAGTGCAACGTCAGAGTTTAGCAGTAGGGTTCCCCTTTGGTTTGTGGTTTTGGACAAGCTCAGGATTCCCTCTTCTCATCCATATCATCTCTCTCTCTCTCTCTGAGTTTAAACAATAACCAAACTCTATACTTTTGTTCATATTTGTGTGGCTATAGTTAGATTTTTCTTTGTAACATTATCAACTATGGTTTTTCAAACCATGAACAACAACAAAGAAACATCTTCACTTCCATTTATCACTCTCTCTTGTTCCTTCTCTTACCTCTAATAAAAAACAAAACTTGTCTTTGAGTTCTTTTATTCTCTTCTCTTGTTCTTTCTCTCTCAATCTCTCCACTATTCACTACTGTGTTCAACTATTTAGTCTTTAACTTTGTTTCACAAGTTCTTTTTTTTGTCTTTAGATCCAAAAAAAAAAAAAAAACATATGAAAAAAAACAAGATCTCTAGAGTTTAGTCTACAACTACAAGATCCTTAGTTTCCTCAAACTTCAAACATAAGATGGTCAAAGGTTTAATGATGTTCCAACAACAACAAGTGGTGGAAGAAAACATGTCAAATTTAACTTCCGCATCTGGTGAAGCTAGTGCTTCTTCGGGTAACAAAACTGAATTTGGAACAAGTAGTAGTTACCAACAACAACATGAACAACAACAACAATACTTGGTTCCTCAAACTCAACCTCAATCTCAAGCAGTGAAGAAAAAGAGAAACCTCCCTGGTAACCCAGGTTTGTTTTTTCAACTTTTTTTCAAACTTGATTTTAAAAATCAAAACTTTTTAAAATTTGATGAACATGGTTGTGTTAATTTTTCAGACCCTGATGCTGAGGTTATAGCTATGTCACCAAAGAGTCTACTAGCGAAAAACCGATTCATATGTGAGATCTGCAACAAAGGTTTCCAACGAGATCAAAATCTTCAGCTTCACAGAAGAGGCCACAACCTACCATGGAAGTTGAAACAAAGAACAAGTAAAGAAATCAGAAAGAAAGTGTATGTGTGTCCAGAAACATCTTGTGTGCATCATGATCCATCAAGGGCTTTAGGAGATTTGACTGGAATCAAGAAGCACTTTTGCAGAAAACACGGTGAGAAGAAGTGGAAATGTGAGAAGTGTTCAAAGAAATACGCTGTTCAATCTGATTGGAAAGCTCATTCTAAAACATGTGGAACAAGAGAGTATAGATGTGACTGTGGAACTCTCTTCTCAAGGTAACAACAAAATCAATGTCTTTGAACATTCATTTATGGTTTCTGATCATGTTTGAATTGAATCCTAGGTTGACTTTAATGCATAAATTTCACATTTTATTTTAATATTATATATCATAGTTTTTTCACATTTATTTATTTATTCTTCATACATTGTTGAAGAAGAAGAAGATGATAAATGATAGTAAGACATTGATATAGCACTCTCCCATAATCACAAATTCCATTCTTTGGAAAAAGTGGAAATTCTAAGTTAGGAAAATTTTTAATGCACTACCTTAGAATAGACTATTTGTCTTTAAAGTTATCAGAAAGTTTTTATAAAATGTTGAAAAAGCATATAGAGAGAGAGAGGAAAAAAGGGTAAATTTGTAAATTTCATTTTATGATTATTTTATTTTGCAGGAGGGACAGTTTCATAACACATAGAGCATTCTGTGATGCATTAGCAGAAGAAAGTGCAAGAGTTATCACAAATAAGACAATTCCACATTTACCCTCAACACAATCACCATCATCTTCTCATCATCATCATCACATGATAAATCTACAAACCCAATTCAATAATCATACTCATAATCATAATCATAATCAACATCAAGAACAACAAGAGATTCATCATAATTTTCCATTATTGAAAAAAGAACAACAACATCAACAACATCAAAGTTTTAATCTTTCAGAAATTCCACCTTGGCTTGGCCCACCACCAAATGTTGGTGAAATCTCATCATCAATATTCTCTCAAACACAACAAGAAAACCCTAACCCTAATCTTGCTCATGTTCATGGGCCCACATTGCCTCCTTACCAAACAGTACCTTCCCCACACATGTCAGCTACTGCATTATTGCAGAAAGCAGCTCAGATGGGTGCAACTATGAATAGAACAGGTTCTGCTTCTTCACCAGCTATGAATGCTATGAATGTTAGGTCCCACCAAGTTGATTCTCTCAACAATGTTTCTTCTGGTCATTTTGGTTTGAATTTGTTATCATCATCATCATCATCGCCACATGAACATCAACAACATCAACAACAAAACACAACATCCATGGCAACAACAACAACAACCTCAACATATCTGAGTAATATTCATGATGTTATGTTTTCTTCTCCGTCTCTTTCTGGATTTGAATCAACTCAGTTTGATGAAATGTTTGGTGGCATTATGAATCCAAAGAAAGATCATCATGAGACACGGTCTAAAACAACTACGAGCGACGACGGTGGAGGCGGTGGAAATGAAGGATTGACTAGAGACTTTTTAGGTCTTAGACCATTGTCTCATAGTGATATACTAAGCATGGCAGGGATTGGAAACTGCATGAATGATGATGAACAAAATCAATCTCAAAAGCCATTATGGCAAGGTTAGAATAGATCCATAAAATACAACATATTATGGATTATTTTATTCAAATTTTATATAATTTTCATTCTTTTTTATTTTCGTGGCTTAATATTTATTTATCTTCCCAAAGGGAAGGACCTTTCTTTCTGGAATCATCCCAATTAATCCTTGTGTATTTATTTTACTTGACTTTATAGTTTTAGTGATGAATAAATAATTATAACAAGGATACAGAGTAATTTTGCATGTGACTGTGAGTGTGTATGTAAACCTTTTCTTAACAAAAACTAGGCAATATTCTTTTTTTATTAGAAATGTGTGTAAAATCTAATATATACTGTCAACATGTTCACTTTAACCAGAATAATAACATATTTATATTGATTTTGGAAAAGTTAAAAAAATAATTTTAAAAGTTTAGAATTAATTCTAGAATAATTTTAAAGAGTTGATTTTTTTTTTTTAAATTAGAACTTTTAAAATTGACATATTAAAAGTTAGAGAATCGATAGTCATTTCGCCTCCTGTTATTTGAATAAGATTTGAAGAAAAATCCTTTAATTTTTTTTTTTGATTCCTTCCCTGTCCTTTAAAAATTTCATATTTTTGGTCTTTCATTAAATCAGTTCACCCAAAAAAACTTACGTGACATTGACAAGTTGACAGTTTTTTAAATGAAAACATTTTGTTATTCCATCTGTCATTTATTTATTTTAACAAAAATATTTTAAGCCTTAAATTATTGTGAACCCTAATTTGAGTTTTTGTCATCGTGTTATTCTTCCTCCTTTACACTCCATTCCTCTGTCGCTTTCCTTCTTCAAGTAGCTACCACTTCCATCTCGTTTCTCAGCCTAGCCAAGTTCCTTTCAAACTTTACCAAATTTCACATCAAAAATAAACCCACAAACCCATTTTTCTCTAAACCATGAGGAACACTTTCAAAGACCTAGATCACAACAATCTTCACTCATCATTAACCTTCTCAAAGCTCATAACTTTCCTCTTCCTCTTAATCTCAATCTCATACCTTTTCTACTCCCCCAGATTTGTTACTCATAGCTACAATTGTGACCAAAACCACCAAAACCCAGACATAATACCCATTATTCATAATAGCCACACAAGTTTCAAACCACAAACCCAAAATCCATTTCAAGAAAAATAACAAGAACAAAAAACTCCGACCAACATCTCACACATGGTATTCGGAATCGGCGCATCAACGAAGCTCTGGAAAAAGCGAAAAGAGTACATCAAACTCTGGTACAAACCAGACCAAATGCGTGACATTGTTTGGTTAGAACAAAAGGTGAAACCAAATCCTAAAGACAAAAACCTCTTACGAATGAGAACGATTTCAGAATAGGAACAAGAAAGATGCCCGCGACTTCAAAAAACAAGAACGATTTCAACTCAGAGAAATCAATTTTTTTCTAAGAGAAATCGAATTCGGGTTATGGGGTAAATCGATTTTGATTTTTCTCAAGGTGGAAACAAGATTTAGATTAAGAGAAACCAATTTTAGTTATGTTGGAAATCCATCCAATTCTATGATGAATTTCTACCACAATGACAATTTAATTATGAGACAAACAAAGAAAAGAAGACAAGACAAATAATTTCTGCAGAGTTTCTCTCTGCTCACAAACTGTGAAAACTTTCTTATTCACTTTGCAACTGCAAAATACTATGAATGACTTGCTTGACTTGCTTACAAAAATAGGGGTTACTCCCTCTATTTATAACTGAGCTTACACCCTAAGCCCAAAGCCCAACATATCTTTTTGTTAATAAATCAAATCTAATTTATTCTAGACTTAAATCAAATCTATTTAAATTTAAACAAATCAAATCTTTTCGACACATAGTTTCAACATACTGAATTACAATTTAACACACCACCTAATTTATTGTGTCTAAACTATCTATGTTCATCATGGCTCTTAGTCTTCTGAATACTTCTACTTGCACTCCCTTCGTCATGATGTCTGCAATCTGATTCTCAGATCTGCAGTGTTCCAAATTCATCTTCCCATCTTCTACCTGCTCTCGAAGATAATGGAACCTCATTTCGATGTGCTTACTTCGACCATGTACTATTGGATTCTTTGCCAGATTAATAGCTGACATGTTGTCGATCTTCATGGTAATTGCTCCATGATCTTTCCCTGTTATCTCTTCGACCAAGTTCACCATCCAAGTTGCTTGACATGCACAAAGATAAGCAACTATATATTCTGCTATGCATGATGATAATGCCACTACTGGTTCCTTTCTTGAATTCCAAGCAACTGGTGCACCACCTAGCATAAACACATATCATGTTGTTGACTTTTGATCTTCAGCATCACTACACCAACTCGAATCAGTGTATCCCACTAACTTGGATTCTTTTCCTTTATCAGTTGCAAGAAACAAAATGCCATAATCGAAAGTTCCTTTGAGATACCTCAGTATCCTTTTTACTGCTGCTAGATGTGATACCTTTATCTTCTGTATAAATCTACTTACCATACCTACACTGTATGCTAAGTCAGACCTTGTATGACAAAGATATATTAATGATCCAATAAGTCTTCTGTATTGGGTTGGATCAACATCATCTTCATCTGCATCTTTCGACAATTGCAGTCTTGGTTCTGCAGGTGTCGAAGTTGAGTTGCATTCTTCCATCTCAAACCTCTTGAGAATTTCTCGTGCATATCTTCTTTGATGCGTCATCAAACCTCTACTGCTCTTGTAGAATTCGATTAGAAGGAAATATGAAATATCACCCAAATCAGACATTTCGAATTCCTTGTTGAGATCACCTTTGAAGTCTTCGATCTCACTTTTACAGCTACCTGTTATTAACAAATCATCTGCATAGAGACATAGTATAAGCAATTCACTATTACTTCTTCTTACATATACTCCATGTTCAGTTGTGCACTTTACAAATTCCTTCTCCCTTAGGAAACTATCATTTTCTTATTCCAAGCTCTTGGAGCTTGTTTCAATCCATACAGGGCTTTATGCAGCCTGTACACCTTTCTTTCTTCGTCATGTTTCACAAACCCAACTGGTTGTTTAAAATAAACGTCTTCTTCTAAGGGTCCATTTAGGAATGCACATTTCACGTCCATCTGACATATGTGCCAACTGTTTATTTCTGCTAGACCAACAACCAACCTGATTGTTTCGATCCTAGCAACAGGTGTAAAAACTTCATCGAAGTCTATTCCTTCTTTTTGTATAAATTCTTTTGCCACAAGTCTTACTTTGTGTCGAGTTACTTCACCTTTCGAATTCATTTTCACTTTGTATACCCAATTTGACATCAATTGCCTTCTTGCCTTGAGGCAATTCGACAAGTGACCAAGTGTTGTTGTCTTCGATAGACTTTACTTCTTCGTTCATTGCTTTCACACACTTCGAATCCTTTAATGCTTCATCTGCATTAACAGGTTCGACATCTGCATAGAAAGCAAAATATACCATCTCACCTTCATTATCTATTACATCATCTGATGTAATCACACAATCTTGCAATCTTGCAGGCATGCATCTTGTTCTTTGAGTTCTGCTTGTACTTGGTATATCTGCTGGTTCCTCTTGTCGAACTTCTCTTTCGACTTGAGTTTCTGGATCTTCAAGAAGGATTCCCACTGAATCTTTCTTGACATTTTCAGTCCAATCTCATTCTTTAAACTCATCTATGATCACGTCCCTGCTGATCACAATCTTCTTTTCACTGGATCGAACAACTTGCAGCCTCATGTCAAATGATATCCAACTAGAATCATTTGACTTGACTTGTCATCAAGTTTTCTTCTCAACTGATCTGGCACATGTCTATGTGCAATAGATCCAAATACCTTCAGATGACTCAAGCTAGGCTTCACACCAGACCAACATTCTTCTGGAGTAATTCCTTCTAGCTTCTTTGTAGGACATCTGTTCAAAATGTATGTTGCAGTCGAAATAGCTTCACCCCAAAACTCTTTAGGTAAATTCTTGCCTTTCAACATACTTCTCACTATATTCATGATGGTTCGATTCTTCCTTTCTGCAATTCCATTTTGTTGTGGAGTATAGGGTGGCACCACCTCATGCACAATCCCTTCCTTTTCACATAGTATGTAGAAGTCTTTCAATACATATTCTCCACCACCATCAGTTCTCAAAACTTTGAGCTTTCGACCACTCTGTCTTTCGACCATAGACTTAAACTTGGCAAATATTTCGATCACTTCACTTTTCTTCTTGATCAGATAAGTCCACAGCTTTCGACTGAAATCATCTATGAATGTAACAAAGTATTTGTTACCTCTCATCGAATCCACCTGGATTGGTCCACATACATCAGAGTATATGACTTCAAGACTAGCCTTCGACCTGCTTCCTGCATCCTTGCAGAAGCTATTCTTATGTTTCTTCACCTGCACACATTCCTCACATAACTCGTTTGGAATGTCGATTTCTAGTAATCTTGAAACCATATTTCTTCTCTTCAAATCTCAGATGTCTCTGAAGTTGAGATGGCCTAGTCTATAATTCCATATCCATTCATCTCTGCTAGCTGCAGTCAAAAGGCACTTGTGCTCCATCACATTTAGTTCAATATTTAAGATTCGATTCTGAGACATAGGAGCCTTCAAGATTAATCTCCCATTTGCATCAACGACTCTCATCATCTTATCTTCGATTGACACTTTATAATTCTTTTTGACCAACTGTCCTATACTGAGCAAATTGCTCTTCATGTCTGGTTGTACAACACATTGGAAATTACTGACCTCTTGCCATCTTTCCTCATCATCATAACATCACCAATACCTTCTGCTGCTAGGGTATTGTCATTTGCAAATTTTACCATATTTTTCATTGAGGGCTTTATATTGACGAACCAGTCTTTCCTTCCAGACATATGTGATGAACATCCTGAATCCAAGTACCATTGGTCCTTGAATCTATCTTCATCTTTTGTTGTGACCATCAGTATCATCTCTTCTTCTTCTTCTTCTTTATGTTTTGTAAGC